GCCGCCTGGGCGATGCAATCAGTTGATGGCTGATGACAAAGCAAAATGTTTGCTCCGTTATAAAGGAGTGCAACATGTCCTGGCATTCGAAATATGTTAAGAATGTGATGCGCTAGTATAATAAGTGTCACACACTCAGTAGCTAATGAAAATGACACATACGACGTCGGCGGCATGCAAACTTACGTTCGGCAATTGCGCGTAAAAATTCATCGGTGCATATTCGACCGGTGCTCTGAGGTGAAGGCACCAGGGCCAATAAGGACGAAACCTGAACGATCATGGGTGCCGCAGGAGGCCAACAAAGTGGCTCCCGTCAACAAGTACAGGGTCCGCAGAGCAAGCAAAAAGAACCCAAGACCAACGTGGTGGGCCCATGAAAGACCGATAGTGCCTCGGCAGGCTTACATATAAAGCCCCAGCCAGAGCGCAGAACCCTCCGAGCGAAAGGGAGTTATCCAAGACCATGAATTAATACCCCTGTGCGATAGGAGTGAAGAGTCCTCCGCAGATGAGACCAAAGGGAGGGAGCCCTCGATCAAAGTAGATGGCCCCTGAGCATCGAGTGTCTTCGTGCCTTACCTTACAAAAGCCCCAGCAACAGCACAAGGCCCTCCAAGCAAGTAGGAATAGCCCGGGACTTCAATGAAGGATCCCTGAGCAACTGATTGTATCATGGCATATGGGGCCTGGAAAAAGCAAAAAGAGCCTTTCAGGCGAATGGGGAGAAACCGCGGAGGAAAACCTGATCGATCAACAGCGCTCAGGCATAGAGGCATATACCGTCTCAACAGCACATTGGGTCTTACGAGAAAATACAAAGAGATCAAGGGCAACGTGGAAAACTCCTTAGCGATCAGATTGACGCGGCAAATTGACATATAGGGCCAGGAAACCAACATTGCAATGGCTCTAGACAGCGTAATGAGCTCCAAAATTTCCCCAAGCAACATTTTCTCAATCAACATAAAATAGACTTAGTCTGCTTATGAACTATTTACTTTTGCTAACAATTACTCTTGGTGGTCTTTAGGTTCAAAGGATTCCAGCTTTGTTGTAAGAAAACTGCGTCCGTCCGGCCGGTTATGGGCCCCTTCGGAACCTTTAGGTTCCCTCGGCATGGTCCATGGGACATGGTGTCGTGCCTCCCCTCCCCCTTTGCATCCGCCAACGGACCGAGTAGCTTATTATATGGGCCCGCCAAGAACATAGGGCTATCCATTCAAAAAAGAAATACTCACGACACGATGTGTAGGGCTCTGAACGACCGAGTGCGCCCGAGCAGGTTAACATATCGGGGCCCCATCAAGAGCGTAGGGCCCTCCATTCAAAAAGGAAGTACCCAAGACCCAATGTAGAGGGCCCCCGAATGGTCGAGTGTGCCCGAGCAGGTTAACGGATAAGGCTCTCAAAAAAGAGCGAAGCCCCTCCGTTCAGATAGGGAGCATTTAAGACCCAATGCAGAGGACCCCGAATAATCGAGTGCACCAGAGCAGGTTAACAGACAGGGCCCCCGAAGAGCGCGGAGGGCCCTGCATTCAAAAAGAAAGTACCCAAAACCACATGTAGAGGTTCCCACGATCGAATGGGCCCGAGCACATTATCAGAAGGGGCCCCGATAGGAGCGTAAGGCCCTTCCTTCAAATAAGAAGTACCCAAAACCCGGTGCGCAGGGCCCCCGAAAGATGGAGTGTACCCGAACAGGTCGTCAGATGACCCCGAGCTGAGGGCCCTAAATTCAAACACCAAGAAGCAATGTGCAGGGCCCCCGAGCAATCCAGTGTGGCTGAGGAGGCGAACAGAGGGGCCCCCGACAAGTGCCTAGGGCCGCTTCAAATAGCACGTGCCCCAGGCCTCATGTAGAGGGCCCCAAACGATTGAATGTGCCCGAGCAGGTTATCAGAAAGGCCCCTTTCCCACGCGTGCGGCCCCCATTAAGAAAAGAAGTACCTAAGACCTAGTGTGAAGGGTTCCCGAACGACTGGTGTGCTCAAGCAGGCCATCAGATGGGCCCCCGACAAGAGTGCAGGGACCTAAGCAAGTGACAGAGCATTGGTAGCGCCCTAGACCAATGAAGAGAGCCCATGGGCATGTTGCAAGTGTGTCAATATGCTAACCGAGACCCACGTAAAGGGCCCCTGGGCAACCGAGAATATCCGGCAGGTTAAGATATGGGACCCCGGCTATAGCCCACAGAGCCTTTTTGGCGAATGGAAAAAAAAAACACGTGGAATGGCCCGTGATTGACAAGAGTGCCCCGGTACGCTAGCAGGAAGGGCCCCAACAACAGCGCAGGGCCCCCCGAGCAACTGCAAAGAAATAAAGGACAGCGTGGAATGCTCCTTAACTATCGAAATGATCCTGAAAGTGGGCATAGAGGTCTCCCAGAAGCAGAATGGGCCTTTAAACGGTGCAATGAGGCTTAAAATTTCCAGTTTGCAACTTTCAATCGCTTAATGATTTTTTTTTACTTCTCATAAGCGCTTAACTTCCACTTACAACTGTTCTTGGTCCTCTGGAAGTCCAGAGATATCCAGTTTTTCTGCGTTGTATTTTAAAGAACTGCAGCTGATCGGCCGGCGATGGACCCCCTCGGAGCCAATGGGCCTCTTCAAGGCCCAAGGGGTGGGGCATGACCCTGTGTCTCCCTCCCCCCCCCTCTGGATCCGCCCTTGCTCCGTACAACGTCTTACAAAAGCGCGCCGATGCGCTGTCTCTCTATGCCTTATTTACCCGTGTGCGGCCATGGCGTCGAACGGGTATTTGGCTTCCTGCAACCCACAGTTGCAAGCAACCCAGTCGCTTGAATTGCCCCTGTCACTTCGTGCCTGTTTCTGAGGCATCAGTTTCAACATTACTCGCCAGCTGAAGGTTTACTCACTCGACATAAGTTTGGCTGGCTGCATTCATCGTACCCCAAATAGGTAACATGATGGAGAAACTTCATCAAAATTGATCATCTCACAATTGGTCGACCACTCCTTTCCTCAGTTTTCTCGCATTTTCTTTTGCCAGCACCCAAAACAAAGAGCACGCGCATCACTGATTCATGGTGCCGATGGGAGGAAAGTAAATCCATTTCAACAAAAGACAAATATTTATTGTGATAATTGCGGACACAGTGTTACACAATAGAGGAATATTCCGTACCGAGACATCAGACCCGTGAGAGCTGATGCAGACATTTGCATTTCAATGGCTCAGTCAACAAGATAATATACGGGTAAGCGAAAGTCTCAGAGCTGACCTATGACGCCTCATTCACTTGAGGAGCACCGCCAAGCCCTGGGGCACGCAGTGTCACATCACACGACGCCACTCCGTACGCGGTCGTGTCACCGGTCGCGACCTAGACACCTGAGGCTGACATGGGGCGGTCACCGCGAGGTCACGGCCATCACCACCGGACCGACCACACCACCGGTGGCCGAGTGTGACGTCACCAGAGGACCGACACACCCACCGGTGACCGAGTGTGACGTCACCAGAGGACCGACCACACTCACGGTGACCGAGTGTGACGTCACCAGAGGACCGACCCACACCCACCGGTGACCGAGTGTGACGTCACCAGAGGACCGACCACACCCACCGGTGACCGAATGTGACGTCACCAGAGGACGACCACACCCACCGGTGACCGAGTGTGACGTCACCAGAGGACCGACCACACCCACCGGTGACCGAGTGTGACGTCACCAGAGACCGCCACACCCACCGGTGACCGAGTGTGACGTCACCAGAGGACCGACCACACCCACCGGTGACCGAGTGTGACGTCACCAGAGGACCGACCACACCCACCGGTGACGGAGTGTGACGTCACCAGAGGACCGACCACACCCACCGGTGACCGAGTGTGACGTCACCAGAGGACCGACCACACCCACCGGTGACCGAGTGTGACGTCACCAGAGGACCGACCACACCCACCGGTGACCGAGTGTGACGTCACCAGAGGACCGACCACACCCACCGGTGACGGAGTGTGATGTCACCAGCAGGGCTCCGGGTGGGGGCAGCCGAGCGGAATCTGAGCGGTCAGCAGGGTGGTGAGCGGCTGGACAGGGACCTGGGCTACGGCCAGGACAGGCTGGGCTTGATGTGGTCTGGTCAGATAGATGGGATCCAGAAGGCAAATGTCAGCAGTAACTGCGCTACTTTATCTCAACCGTGTACACTTGATGCATACCAAAGCCAATGTTCGTGTTTCGGGTTTTGACGGACGCATATAGGACCGTACCGCTGCCGGGCTCACATAATGAGTAAAGGCCGGCAGCGATCACTGTGTACAACGCAACATTCCTCCAGGGAATGCATTTGCAAGAACACTAAACGACTGCAGAAAAGTACTGGCGTCCACTGCAAGGCAATATCTGCGAAGTGTCCAGTGTGGTATACCACGACAAAAATACTGACAATTGTGCTCGCATGTGGTACACCATGTTCATAATTCGCGCGCTCAAATGCGGTGCGTACATCAGCGAACAAAGAAAGACAATTGGCATGCTTGTCGTTGCCACTCGAAATCAAGTTCACTATGACGCGCCCATAATCAACTGCGCTCCCAGCGTGTGGCGCAACTCGCAACTGCCAAAGCTCACCAGCAGCCATTTTACTGCAGTTGTTTTCTCAACGAACTACTACTTTGTTTGCTTCAATAGCTGGATCGGGTGCCTCCTCAGTGCAGAATGCTGACTCTGGTTGCCAATGGCGAAACAATGTGAGGTTTTTGGGGCCATGGCCACTCTGCAGAGGTGGCAGGGCCCCTGGGCCTGCGACCCAGTCCTTTTTTGTCAGCTTAAGACGCTCACAAGGCTTCGAAAACATCCAAAACCTACCCCGAGGCATCAAAATAGAGTCACGAGCTTCTCAAGTCCCTCTGAATACAAAACAGGGCCGCTATAGCGACGATGTAGGTCACCTTAGCTGAAAAGGCCCCGCAGGACCCGAATTGGGCCCTTTCTGGGCGAAATCCTGACTACGCCACCGACGATTACTTTTTACACGCAAAACATGTGCCATAACGATCCCAGACACCGCACCCTGGAAAAAATGTCGTAGATATATGCATATAACTTCGCTCGTACCTACTGCACATTCTACATAGGTTAAATTGAGGGTGCACATAATACCTTTCCCGTGCGGGACGTAGACATTTGCGTAATGATACGCAGCCATGCTGTGTTACAATACTTGTGCGTCTTGATAAACAGGAAGTTGAGCAGCAATGTCCAACTAAGCGTGGCCAGCACGCGTTCTTATCAAAGGTTCAACAGTCCAGTCACAGTCGCGCTTTGTACAAATTATGTTTTCCCGCAGGGGACTTCGTGAAACCAGCTAAATAGGGACATGACAAACACACGACCTCCCTGCCCGTGCCATGTGTCTGCTTTTCTCATCTCATACGATGCGCATCAAAGGTGCAGCGAAACAGGTCTAACAGGCACGTTGCAGGAGATGCAGGTCAGGATTCACAAAAATCGGTTCACAAATTCCCGAATAACAAAGGAACTATTCACCCTACTGTTCGGTGGTCGGCACCGCGCATTCCATTCCTGTCCCGTCTATGCCTTACGTGGGCCATTGGGAAACTTAAGTGCACCAGTAATAAAGCGCAAAAGTAAAACATGATGCGATTCGTCGCTAAAGGGTCTTCAAGAATCTAAATAGCTTTAAGCTCAACTTGTAAATCTATGTCGTTAAAAGAATAAGCTCAGCAGTTAAGAATAAAAGGGGTACCCGGCCAGCAATGGCATTGGGTAGGATGCTGTACCGACCGACGTCGAGCTGCAAGCTAGTGATAAGCTCAGCCTATTAGTCATGTTAATAGAACTCAGGTGCTCACACGCGCTGAAGCGAGGGAGGATCCACAACGCATCTCTTTAGACTTTACGTAGGAGGTTAAACACTGCTGCCGAAGGCATCAAAATGGGCGTAAGTCAAGCAAGGCGCGAGATTCGGCTCAACTTGGGCGTATTTTTAAATTAAGAGGAATGTGCTTTTGCTCCACGCTAGATTATGGTGTGTCCCTGGTGTATCCCCAAGCTCGAAGGCTTAACTAATACATAGGTAATTACACAGCACTTGACTTGCGTACCCGTGGATCTCTCCCAGGCGAAATAACTGCTTGCAATCGGTAAGCTTCAACAACGTTGGCATGTTGCAAAGCACAGTGAGGCCAGAAAGAGCGGGCCTTACTCCTCGCACAGCACGTGCCACCGACAGATTTGCACATCGCGCGCGTGTCTCAGGTCCGTCCAATGGGAGCGCTCCTCGGCGCCAGAGCTGTTGTGGCCAAGTGCGAACCAGCCAATCAGGTCTCGCTTCTTCATGCTGCGTTTGTTGTAGACGCTGACCATCAACGTGACGTCACAAAGCTGAAAAAGAGGCACCTGAGGGAGGAAAGAGTGTTGTTAGAGCCACAGCTCTCATGAGATGTACGCACACGACCTGTGTACCTATCAGCGTCTTGCCCTTTTTCATTATCCATCGTGATTTCCAATGCCTCATATTTGTCTATGGAAATGTCGTATGTATAGCGTTTGTAGGCCTTCGAGAAGCAGCGTTATTCGAGAGCAGGTTCTGGAAGCATTCAAATGAATCATCAGTCAAAACCTTCCGCAAATTGTTTGCTTCATACGCCTGCGAAAAATTGTTGGTCCTGAAATGTTTCCACCCAAACCAATGCCGAACAACATATAGGCTGGAGCTCGCATTCTTTTGCTTTACATACCGCACTACCGTGGCCGGAAGTACCGCCATAATGTGAGCACCTCTACTTGCCTACTCGCCTCCCAAATGAGCCTTGTAAAAGGCGAGACTTAAGAAAATGATCACCGCGTAAGAATAATATATCTATTAAAAAGAAACATCGATGTAAATCAGGCAATCCACATCACCAGGAATGTAGCATCTTACTCAGTTTGGGAAGGGCAGGGGGCTTAAACCCCATACCTTCGAAAAAAATGTGAATGAAATTCGGTGACAGCTGTTTTCCCATATTTTGGGAGAGGTGTAACCACAAAGGCTTAGCAACTGAGTTAGTCGTTAAGCTCCAATGACACACCTTTTAATGTACCGTTTACCTGAAACATCATGCAAGTAAACGCGCATTTATGCCTTGTAACACGTCTTTTGGTTCACGTAAACAGCGCCGCAAGCTACAATCACCTGGAAAATGAATGTCTCTTTGTAGAGCGGGTTAGGCTGTCCGCGCCTGAGCGACGTTTTGCTCCTGGCTATCTCCTGACCGTTGCAGGTCAGCAGGTGAAGCCTGACGTACGTGTCTGGCGCCCGGCTGCCCACGCTCGACCTGCGGTGCGACCACGAACATGTCAGGTCACCACGTACTAACACAGCTGATCCACTATCGAGCTGGGATCACCTTCTGGCGCACCGCAAAACATGGAGTACACGGCACTACTTCCAGCGTAGTTTGATAGATGTTCGACGTATAAAGTCGAGAGTGGATCAGGCCCACCGATGCACCGGAGTCCGGTTTGCCGGAGTCCCGAGGAGCGCCGCGGGGACCCCTCACCTGAACTGGGAGCCCGGCTCACCGATGCACCGGAGTCGGGCTGGCCGGAGCCCCGAGGAGCGCCGCGGGGACCCCCCACCTGAACTGGGAGCCCGGCTCACCGGTGCACCGGAGCCCCGAGGAGCGCCGCGGGGACCCCTCACCTGAACTGGGAGCCCGGCTCACCGGTGCACCGGAGTCGGGCTGGCCGGAGCCCCGAGGAGCGCCGCGGGGACTCCTCGCCTGAACTGGGAGCCCGGCTCACCGGTGCACCGGAGCCCCGAGGAGCGCCGCGAGGGACCCCTCACCTGAACTGGGAGCCCTTGACGACCTCGGCGGCCAGCCGGCCGGTGGCGGCGCTGTACTGCAGACCCAGCAGCAGCTCCGGCAGACCGCCTCGCTGGATGCTCTGCGTGCTGCCGGTGCTGTCGCTCCGGGACAGGGAGCTGATGTCGCCGCTGCTGCCGCTCGGCGCCAGCTACGGCAGCGTGACGTGTAACGTCACCCTCACTGGACGGACCATCAGACGGGAACAAACGGAAGTCCATAAGGGCAAGGTCGTAAAAGATATAACACAAAAGCAGCTCGCGTTCCAGACAAAATATGGGCAGGTATGCCCGTGACCCTTCCTGTACGTCTTGGCATGGACAGGCATAAGCTCTGGAGGCTGCCAGCCCCAGTTTAAATCGGCTCAGACAAGCAGGCGAGGACTGCCGACTCTCCGAGAACGACAGGACATAATCTACCTGCAACGGCGGACGATTGCCTTTGGGAGGCATCCTGTCCCGACTGCTAGCGACAGGAGGGGAACGACCGAGGATGCCATGCGTACCGTCATGTTGGCTCTGGGCTGCAGGCTGACCCACTGGGGCGTCTGCTGCTCCATGTTGACGCTGGAGAAGGGCACGGCCGCCTCGCCGATCATCCTCTCTCGCCGCAGCCGCTCGCAGCCGTACAGCCGCAGCCGCACCCCCATGGACGGCAGGTCCTCTGTCGGTACGGGCGAGGGGGTCACCTCCGCCGCGCGGACTCAGCTAGGCTCGTACGAAGTTCATGTGGTCCAGACTTGTGTCAGCGACGACATCGCGGTCACACAGCCTCAGCTGGACGGCCACACCCGGCAGGCGGCTGGGTTTGTTTTGGAAGGGAAGGGTCTGCTGTAGATGCCTGCATACAGTCGCGTAGTGATCCCCAACTATGTAGCGAGGGATGTCATTGGTCTTTCTCGGTCACAGCCATGGGTCACCTTAAAGAGGAAGGGGTTACATCGGTCAGTCACAGAGCCCCATCCCACATATGGCGTGGGAGGGGGCAAGTCAAGCTTTAGGAAGGTAAGACGGCAAGCAATGGCGTACTGGAGGGAAGCATTTAAACAGCTGCTTCCCACGTTTGTTTTGCGAGCAATGCAGTGAACATAATATCGTTTTAGGGAAATTTAGGGAAAACTGTCCTCCCGCGTCACCCTTTGCGATTAAATCCCGTGACAGCGGCCGGTGGGCAGCACGTGACATGGGCCTGGATGGTGAAATGCGGCCGGTGGGCAGCACGTGACAGCGGCCGGTGGGCAGCACGTGACATGGGCCTGGATGGTGAACTGATCCGGCCTGTGCGTGGAGCTCGGCGACGATAATGAGTGATGCACTGTGCTGGTCAGCCGAACTTGGGCACCAGACACCAGAACTGTCGTCAACTCCCACCACTGGCTTCCGTGGTGATATCCCCGCATGCTCGCACGAACTGGTGCCACCTAACACCTGATCAAACGAATGGCCTCACCCGCGCTGACTTTGTGGAACACCAGCGCCTCGTTGAACTGCGGGTTCGGTCCGGGCTGTACCCGACTGCGGAGCCGCGACTTCTTTCCGGGCAGAAGGACCAGGCGCACCTGAGAGCACGAGACTGCAGAGGTCAGAGGTCGGCTGCAGGCACGGCTGGCTGGCCGTCGGGCGGAAGGAGATAATCAAATCACAGGTCTGCTCGCTTTGCAATCGCCCCGTCGGAAAACATCCCCACTTTGACGTGTGTTTTGGTGCAAGCAGGGCCCATAACCTGTTAGGATGCGGCTCTTCGCTGGGGTTTTATATTACATGTCACGTGCTCTTTAACGTTGCAGCCACCAAATATCTTTTGAGCAAATATGTTCCTATAGACTATGAGGGAGAAGGGGTATCATGCACGCCAGGTATAATGGCGACTTTTCTTTAGAACGGCAGCAGGCCTTGTAGGTGAAAGATGCAGGTATGAATAGATCCTGTCGTTCCAAACGTTGTAAAGAGGGAGAAAACAGTCGGATATTTTGTTATAAATGGCAGGAATTACCAAAAGGACTTGGAAAGCTTGTTTAGACATTCTGTCATGAACCCGTCCCTGTCCCGACAACAGACGCAAGTGTGTCACTTGTCTTATTCTGCCTTGGTCGCGAGTGTATTACCCGAAACGGGATCCGTGGAGTAATTGTCACCTTTGTGAAGAGAAGACAGATAATAAATCATACCAGGGAGAAAATCATGGCGTCAGACAGAGGCCAGCGAACATTTGCCTGACATGTGAAAAAGCCTGACAGCGGCTTGAGGCGACCGCAAGAAAATGTAATCCGCGGTACAGTGACCGTCAGCGCTCCTCTGGCCGGCTTTGTTCCACTGACGGAGGCCCTGCTGCCCCCGCCTCTTTCCCGCTGGGTGTCTGCGAGCTGTGACCCACCTGCGCGCTGCTGGCTCCGCCTCTGTGCCGGCTGGGCGTCTGCAAGCTGTGACCCACCTGCGCGCTGCTGGCTCCGCCCCTGTCCCGGCTGGGTACGTTCCGCGCCTGCAGCAGCTGTGCCGTTAGTTTCTTGGTCGGGAAGTCGTACGCGAAGGCCACCTCCACGGCTCCGCAGGGCGACCGAAGATCGGGCTCCTCCAGGTCAGCCACGTCAAACAGACGCTCCTGGCCAGAAACGCAGGAGATCAGCACTCTCTCCATTGTCTCATACCAGCCGCGTAACACGTCCGCAACGTTTTGTGCAACCGAGAAACCGCTGTGGCAACCCATGCCATGTGTAAATGATAAACAGATGCATTCTTGAAACTTTCTACTGTCTCTACCCACACGAGCTCTGTCTCTCCTCGACTTGTTACCATAGAGGCATCGCGGCTCACCTACCTCTGTGTGGGTGATGCGTGGACCCAGGCATGGTGCTGTCGAGGCCTCCGGCGGCGCGTCCAGACTGCGGGTGCGGCCCGACAGCTGGCCATGCCGTCTGACGTCACGGTGACGCAGTGATGACGTCAGATCGTCCTCGCCGGACGTGGTGGAGGACGAGGAGGACGAGGTGCCTCCGCCGACCCTGCCCCGCTCGGCCAGGCTGAGGTCCGGTCCCCTATCTGTCGCAGTAGAAGCCATTATCGGTCACCCCGACCTTGACCCACTCGGCCAGACTACCAAAGCCCGGCCCTCACGCTGCCGCAGCAGAAGTCACTATCAGTCACCCCGACCTTGACCCACTCGGCCAGACTACCAAAGCCCTACGGTCCTCACGCCTGTCGCAGCAGAAGTCACTATCAGTCACCCCGACCTTGACCCACTCGACCAGACTACCAAAGCCCGGCCCTCACGCTGCCGCAGCAGAAGTCACTATCAGTCACCCCGAACTTGAGCCGCTCAGTCAGACTGAGGTCCTATCCTTGCTTCGTTGCAGTGAAGGCTCAGGCCGAGCATCAGTACAACTCCGCCTGCCAGCGCTGGCCGGTCGGAGAAGAAAGGGGTCATAGGTCAAGCATGCTCGGCGTCACCCGCCGGCGACAGTTCGGCCACACGCGGCTGTGCCGCTCCGGTGCTGTCTGGGTGCTGGCTGCATGAGCCTGCCCGCTCCTTTGCATTCGCGAGTGTACAAGCAAGCCAGCTGGGGGAGGATGGGGAGAGGGGGGGGGGGCGATGGGCCGTGCCGTTACTCTTTGTGTCAAGATTGTGTGGCGGGGGCGGGCGCCGCGCCGCCGGCGGCACAAAACAGGCGGGTGTGCGGGATCGGGCCGCCACTCGGATCGCGACCACGGTGCGCTGATCGATGCTGTGATCTATCGCAGCCCGCCCCGGCCTGCCTGCGCTCCCACTGACGACCGCTCGATGACCGCGGCCCGCCCGCCGCCGCCGCTCCATACTGCGCGACTTTTCAAGGACGATGACGACGTCATCTGCGTGACAATGCAGACTTGTCTGCTTATGCTTATGCAGACTTGCATGCTTCTTGCATATGCAGGTGCAAGAAGTGAGAACTAAAAAACAACTGGCTAAAAGGGCGAGTGTCGTTCAAGGAGAGAGGCCTGCATTGTCCGCTTGGGGAGGAGTGGCTTCCACAGCAGATCGTTCGACAACTACGCAGGTCGTTCCAATCAGGGACTGTTCAGCTTTTAACGGCAGGCATACGGCGCACTCTGGACGGTGGTGCTGGCAAGTCATCTTATAGCTATGCTGGGGGGGGGGGGGGGGGGCGGGTTAAGTATGCAGCGCGGATCCACAGCAGGACACCAAAGACCATAGCTACTGTACCACGCAGGGGTGTCGACTTATACCTTTTTGGGAGAGCCACGGCCCTCCCTCCTCCTAAATTCTGGCTTGGGCTCCCCAAGGTAGGCGTAGGCCCCACCAATACTTTTGCTGGATCATTACAGCAAAATTAGGAAAAACATCCCTTTGGGCATTATCTACTGGCCATGAATGCCTCCTAGCATGACGAATGGCCTCCCAGGATGGCCTCCTAGAATGGCCTCCTAGGATGGCCTCTTAGGATGAAGGAACGTGTGGTAGCTGACAAAACTTTTTCAAGGAAAGAAAAGTCCCGTTCGTCGAAATAAAGTTGACCCAAATTACTCGACAAGCACAAAGTTGGCGTATGGTAACGTGGTCGGATTTCAGCTCGCTCCCTCGCAATATTTTGCACACATCATCTCCTGCATTGTCATTTCCAGAAGCCAAATTTCGATAGACAGTCTCTTTGATCACGAATATTGTGCTGTTTTCGGGCCGATGGGTGCTTTGAAGCCCCAAAACTCCCACTTGAGATCAGACCCAAGTATCCCATTAACATCGAACGCCATAGCATCCTGAATGCACCCTTGGGATTCAGACCCATGTCTGCTGAGTGAGTTTCGAGAGACTTACGAAGAATATGATTATCAATGCTACGGGACGGCTTTATCGTTGCTAGGTCTTCGTGCTCAACAGAAAATCACCGATTGCCCTCAGTTGAATAGTTTCTTTCGGGTCCCAAGTGCTCCATATGTTCCTGCTCAGTTGCCTCGACAGTAGGAAGTTGCAATGCCAGAAGCGTCCGCTGGGCCGGCACACTGGACTGTTGGTGGTTACCAACTTCAGACTGCCAACCCTGCGCCATGGCTGCATTGCGGTCAGACTACAGGGGCTCACTTATTCCAGTGCAGACTAGAGGCCCGCTTCATCGGGGCGCCCCTCAGACAGTGTGCTGTCAGCCCGCCACTCGTAGCCGTGGCCGAAATCGATCGCACGAGGCGCTGAGTCAGTCCTAGCGGTCATGCTCCCTGGCGCAGGAGGTGAATCGCTTCCATTTGGCACTTCAAGGACCCCCAGCGGGCGTCAGTAATTTCGCACCAGAATGAAATGGAGTGTGACACATTGGCGGAGGACGGTTCGGTCAGTACATTCAGCAGCAAGCGTGGCACATCGCCTCGCTGCAGCGATCTAGATGACAGAGTTAATAGCGATTAATCGCTTCAGCTCTGTAACCGGTTGTGTTGATCACGTAACAGCTGGCAGGCGAAACGCGATGTGTGAAAGTCATGTACTAATGTTTTATGCGGCACACTCGTTGAGTAAAACAAGTGATGTATGCAACGCACACGTGAAGTAAAACATGCAATTTATACGACACACACGTGAGGTAAAACAAGTGATTTATATAATTTTCCGCTCGTTGAAGTGAAAACATGGGAAGCAAACAAAGTATTTGCCTGTGCGACTTGTAATGTTCTGACGCTTCAGAGCAAGAAGACATCAAACTTCCCTGCGTGTTGCGCTGCAGGAGGCTTATGGAAACAGCTGTGTTATGTGCCCTGAAGACAAGCGCTCGGACCAGAGAGATGCTGAACCGCTCGGCTGGCGCAGACAGCTCTGAGGTATCTTGCGCTGGTGACCGTCATTGTCAGTGTCCTGACCACATTTTCCTTGGACATTCAGAAGCAATTGCTACCAAACTTACCGCAATGACATGGAGGCAACGGCAATCGATGCGGCCGCCGACCAACGGCGTCGCTCACCAGCGGTGCACTCTGAGCTTTTCCGCAAACTGAGCATTGCGCTCCGCCACCATAACCTACAAATGTCAGCCCAAACGGAGGCTCATCCAACGTCGCCAAATTGTCAACCCAGGCGTTCCGCTGCCATAGCCTACAAATGTCAGCCCAGGCGTTCAGCCGCAATAGCCTACAAATGTCAGCCCAAGGCGACGCATCTAACGTCGCCAAAATGGTCCCAATGGCACCTGAGATGTGGCCGAACCTCGCATATCAAGGGTGTCAGGGCAGGCCGAGCCTCACCTGTCGAGGGTGGTCTGAACAGGCCGAGCCTCACCTGTCGAAGGTGGTCTGAACAGACCGAGCCTCACCTGTCGAGGGTGGTCTGAACAGACTGAGCCTCACCTGTCGAGGGTGGTCTGAACAGACTGAGCCTCACCTGTCGAGGGTGGTCTGAACAGACTGAGCCTCACCTGTCGAGGGTGGTCTGAACAGACCGAGCCTCACCTGTCGAGGGTGGCCGGGCAGGCCGAGCCTCACCTGTGGAGGGTGGCCGGTCGGGGGCGGTGCCCGCCGGCGCAGGCTGCAGGCTGAACTGTCGGTAGAGGCTGGGCCGCTCGTACCCGATGCCGCCGTGCTGGCGCGCCCGGTCGGGCCGCGGCGCCGGCCGGGCGAGCGGCGCGGCCGCACGCAGCCGCCGCACCACGGTCTCGTCCGGCTCTGACGAGCTGTCGCCGCCGTCCGCCGGCTCGTCTGGCGGCGACCGGAGCAGCCGGCGTCACACGCTGCGCTCACGCTCGCGGCACGCAGCGCCGGGTCCGCGCGGCCGGGCGCCCGCTGCCTACATTGACGCTCGCTATGCTAGAGATACACCAAAGGGCATTATCGCTCGCGAATATTGACGGCAACATCGAAGCGTGAGTGGTTAAGTGGCTGAAAGTGGACGCTCGGGATTCCTATGGACCAAAGTGAAGGGACCGGGGCATGTGTCATTGTCTATAGCTTCAGCAAGCGTTTTGATAGGACTTCTTCACGATTTGAGGAGGGGAAAAGGTCGCAATGCGCGCGTGGAAGGAACAAGTGGTTGGCGTGATTATTCAGGACCAAGGAAGTTAATTAATCATTGGATGAGTATGCACGTATATAGCAGCAGGCCCCACAGCATCGCCACCATTGGTGCGAAGGTGGGATGGTGAAAGGTTCTGCGAAGGCCCGGTCTTCGCGATCATGACCGGTCACGGGCCCTAACGATTGAGCATTCCGAGTGCCGTGTTTCATACGCACGTTAAATAAAAACACATCATATGCACATCTTTGTGCTGAAGCACAATGTGCTCCCTTGAAAACGCGCTCATGAACGAACATGCGGCAGAAACAGACGGAATGTGATTCAGTGTTGTGCCAGCCGCGGGCGCCACGACAGCGCAGGGCTGAGTGCGCCGCCCTCCACGTCTTCATGACCGCCAGACCGGCGCAGCGCACCCTACTCTTACATCGCGGGCACACATTGCGGGCGTTGCAGACGCATGGGGAGCGTCACGGTACGGAAGGTGCGGCGTACGGAGCGTGCGGAAAGTACGGCGCACGGGGCGTACCGAAGGTACGGCGGGCCACAAAACGAGTGGGAGCCCATGGGGGAAGATCAGCAGCCATGTCACATCCGTCCCAGCCCAAACTCAAACTGTAGAGTGGCATGGAAGAATGCCAGCCCGGATTGAGTTGGTTACTCCAGTATGCTGTTGATTCGCCATGAGGTTAGAGCTGAGTCAATGGTCTATGATCTGAGCCAGGTCCCTCTCGTCTACGCAGACCGAGGCTGCAGGGGCACAACAGAGGCTGCGCATCCCATACTGGCAGGTCACCTGTCCTCTTCGGCGCGGGCGCTAGCTAGAGGCGAGGATTGGCAGCATCTTCGGATTCAAATCTTTGGGCAGGTGGATTCGGAATCAGATTTTGATTTGAACTTGCACTGAAATATCGAACTACTGCAATGCAATGAAGTTGAGGGCTGGCCGCTCGGTCCGAAGCGGGATCCGACATTGATTTGTTTCATATAAATTATCGGAGAGAAACGTGAAACTGAATCATATCCCATGCATTTGATGGCCTATTTCTTTAATGCTTTTCGGTGTTTGGTGGGGTTTGTAAACTGTCATGGTGTCAAGTCCTCATTTTTATAGTTCGGGCAATAGCAAGACTCGTATCTGTTTGACACATGTTGATTCGAATCCTCTGCTGTTGTGTCGACCCAGCCAAGTAAAATGACCACCGTAGTCGGCGCGCACTGAAACTCCAATCAACAACAACGATCCAGCCAAGTGACGGACCCTGTTCGTCAGCGACCTAATCCAATAGCCATCGGGGTTTGTTATCCCGTCCGATCGTGTCACCGCCAGTCAGTCATTTGCCAGTGGATTGCCGCGCATAATTCTAGGAGAGGCTCACGAGGCAGCCAAGACAGGGCTTGCAGGTCACGTCGACGGAAAGGGGGTCGGTCGGAACGGCCACATGTGGGCTGCGCCAGTGTGACAGCGCCGGCGGCCGTCCGTCCGGAATGCGTCAGACGAGCGTCCTGGCAGGGCCAGCCGAGCAACAAATGGACTTTTTGTGCTCGTAGACGAAACAGATGGGTTACACGAAACGGGAGCTAAAGACGGGAAGGCACTGGTGGAGCAGGGGAGTGATTCGCTGAAGGGGACAAAGGCGACGCTAGAAGCACGGACGCGCATCGAAGCAGGGCGGTGGTGTGCGAATCAGGTGACTATGTCGCAGGTGCTGGGGCGAATCGCCCGAGGGACGTATGACGTAATGAGATATCCGTAGCTCGTCAAATCTGGGACGGGTGTCAAGCTCAATAGCTTGACCAGGGTCCGCAGCGGTACTACCGAACCGAATCGCGGGCCTCAGAAACGCTGACAATGTACTTACGAACACTCGTCCGGACGTTGTAGTGGGAGGGCTTGGCCAGGAGCTCCTCGCAGCAGTGTCCTCCCAGGTCGTACAGGCAAATGCGCTTGTTCATGTAGAGAAAGGCCAGGAGAAGGAGGACGAGCAGCACACCGACGGCACCCAGGAACACAGTGGCTTCGGCGGGCACTGCAAATGGGGTCAAGTCGGGTTAGTCCACTACAGTCCCCTACATAAAGCAATCAACATGTTTTCTGGTCACCCGAGTCCACAGACTTTATTCTCTTCTTTGCCTTACGCTTGGTGAATATTCGTCACTGATCTCAGGTCAATCGTGCAGTTGCTCTTCAGGCAAACTAGTAGTCATGCATTCCAAGTGTGTGATAGCTGTTATTACACGATATGTTCTCGTGCTCTCTGGCCCAGGTTACGTAGTTCTCACGCAGTGGTCATGGCGACCGCAGGTCCTTAGTTTGCTCAAGTGTGAAGTGCACCCGGATCGTAGTCTGAATGCCTTGAAGCAACGACGAATGTTTTATGGTGGCATGTGAAACGAAATGGAAATGGCGCATTTCATAGCAGCCATGGCTGAGGCAAATCTGCTAAAGGATATCACTGAATTTGTATACTGACGAAGCCTTACACGCTTCTGCTTCAGCATCTTCTCGAACGTGAGCCCTTTTGACGAATCAGCGCAGTTACTCGACAGAATCAGCGACAAAACGGAGACGAAGAGCCGCCCTGCCCGGTTGCCAGCCATATCGCCCGAATGTGCAAAGTCATACACGTAGCATGACAGGAACGTGTGATTGCGAAAGAAAGCCAGACCCATTTGTCAGCAGACGTGTTCTGCGGAGCGGATCCCAGCTCGCACCCCCGACGCCCAGTTCGGGTCATAACACGTGAGTCATCTATCCACCTCAGCGCCACACGTCGGCGGACGGGGCGGCCGTACCAGCTAGACACCCCATTCCGTCCGAATTGATCGCCGGCTGCTGCACGGCCAGCGGCTGCCAATATAGACCCAACGTTCAACTTATGCGAGCGCGCCACGCCAATGCGAGCTTGACCGCAGGCGCATGTGTGGCGGGTGTGACCAATGTGCCGAGTGTGACGGACGTGACAGACGTGACAGACGTGACGGACAAGACTGATGGCTGACCTTGGCGAATGACCGGATATGGAAGGACAGAGGGCTGCCTGAAGAAAGAGCTGCACATGCATGGCTGAGTGGTGTTGCTGACAGGCGCAGCAAGGCGCGCCCTGCATGGTGGTATTCAACTTTCCCACCCATGCCCCCCCCCCCCCCCCAGTTATCGACCAGCTGTGCTGACCTTGCGCATTGGTGCATGTAGGAAAGGTATGGTTATTACTCCTCTTCCCTGAAAAATGCAGATATTGTAATGTCATGCGTGGTTTGTGGGGAATCGTGTGGGCAGTGTGAAAAGATGAAGGACGAACCTATCGACTAATAGTAGACGCTACCAGATTTGTCGAAGTTCTTCCATCAGCTTGGTACAGTTGGAGTGCTGTTTTGCTTCACACCGTGCAAAAACACGCAGTGCAGCTGCTTCTCACCTCTTGTCAATACCAACGCAATAGCATGTTAGCATAGCAATACATGATAAGTGCAGTAAGGGAAACATGTTTCGCTGTACATACAAGTCTTGGACCTGCTCCTTACATCAGCCGACTAGCGGATCTGAAGCACTACAGTACGGTCGTCCGTGCACTCTTGCCCACCGCCGTGTGCCTCCGTATGACCTTCATGACTCTCATTACGCGAATGTGCTTCGCTCTTCGTGCCACCGCGTCAGACCATAAAGGTCGCGTGAAATCCGCACGTCGCACATACACGTCGTCGCGTGAAATTCCTACGCCTGACATATGCACGATACCGTTGTTATTTTAAAAACGTTGGTCTTTTTCGTTACAACGGAAACAAAGTCGCATCACGTAAGCACTCGACGTCGCTTACTCGCTTGCTCGCCGTTTTAGATAACGCGACACGAATTATTCTCATTCTCAAACTGAACTGGGTCGCTGAAGTCATTAGCAGTTCCTTAGACCCGGGCCCACCGCCACACGCCTGCCCAGCTACAGACGGGCACACGGCTGGCGCTGCTGCTCACCTGTGTCGTCCGGCTCCTCCGCCAGTCGGACTTCACTGGCGTTGGCCTCCGCCAGCACCATGGGTGCGGTCGCGAGCCTCGCCGCCGCCTCTCCGCCGGCCGCCGGCTCGCATGCAGGCCTCGCGCCGAGGCCGCCGGTCGACCGACGCGACCAGGCGGCCGGGCGCGCCGAACTGGCCGCCGACGCCGACGATCAATAGGCGGGCCCGGCTCGCGTCACCGGCGCTGCCCGGCGCAGGAAGTCTGCACACCGACATACGGGGCGGCACACCGACACCGAGGCCGGTGCAGCAGGTCTGCACACCGACATACGGGGCGGCACACCGACACCGAGGCCGGTGCAGCAGGTTCGCACACCGACATACGGGGCGGCACACCGACACCGAGGCCGGTGCAGCAGGTCTGCACACCGACATACGGGGCGGCACACCGACACCGAGGCCGGCGCAGCAGGTCCGCACACCGACATAAGGGGCGACACACCGACACCAAGGCCGGTGCAGCAGGTCTGCACACCGACATACGGGGCGGCACACCGACACCGAGGCCGGCGCAGGAAGTCTGCACACCGACATACGGGGCGGCACACCGACACCGAGGCCGGTGCAGCAGGTCTGCACACCGACATACGGGGCGGCACGCCGACACCGAGGCCAGCGCAGCAGGTCTGCACACCGACATACGGGGCGGCACACCGACACCGAGGCCGGCGCAGCAGGTCTGCACACCGACATAAGGGGCGACACACCGACACCAAGGCCGGTGCAGCAGGTCTGCACACACCGACATACGGGGGCGGCACGCCGACACCGAGGCCGGCGCGGGAAGTCTGCCACACCGACATAGGGGGCGGCACACCGACATACGGGGCGGCACGCCGACACCGGAGCCGGCGCAGGAGTTCTGCACACTGACATGCGGAGAGGCGCGCCGACACACAAGGCGGCATACCAACACATGAACGGCATTCCAACGAGACATGACACGTTAACACCGATGTGAAAGGATGTCGGTGGCTTATGGTTCGAGTATTGTTTTATTGGTTACTTCTTACACCTAGCAATATGTCAGCTGGCTGCATCAGCAACAGGTGAGAGTCAACGGAGTGCACTGGAGCGACACATGTCAAAGACTCATCTGGGGCTTCCTGCTGCTGAGAGGAGCAGTGGCTTTTAGGTAATATGTCGATTGCCGGGCATCGCCGGTAAAGGCCCCTCACGGTGCCGTCGCGCCTCAGGCGTAACGTTCTGACCGTCGGACAGGCGTGAGATAAAACGGTAATTTTCATTTTATTGTATATGATACTAAATGAAGGCAATAGCAGTGCTCACAAATGTCTCATGCATCTGATACCAATATTACATGGGCTTGGTAATATGTGCGAGTTCTGCGCCAGTAATGATTAGCCAAAGATACCAAAGGCCTTCAACGCGTCCACCTGATCGTACGATGACGTCGCAAAACCAAAGTTTTCGGGTGCTTGTAGACACATGTTATCGGTTAAATAGGGCTAAAGGAATACAGTTTTGCAAAATACGTGGGGCTGAGGGGCGGGGGGGGGGGCGGGCGCAGAAAGAAAAAGGCTTTTAAAATGCACTTTAAACAGTTTTCACCTCAGATCTCTCAGATTTAATGCACCTTCTTTTCAGAGATGGGAGCGGGGGCGCAGTGTCCGGAAATTGGTTTGGGAGGTGGGTAAACCCTAAAAATGATGCTTAATAAAAAATAATTAGTAAAAATTATAAATACAAGCAGGGAACGACGACCATGGTTAGGAGGCACGATCCCGTCTCCCCTAGTCCGCCCAACTGAATAGGAAACTACACGCTTCTATGCCGGTTATGTCAAGTATACCTTTATCTGAAAATTGTATTAGGTTTTCTCAACCATCATCCGGTGTTTAATGACAGGCAAATGATTGATAAGCACGAATGAACTCCCGGAACGAAAATATTTGATGGTTATGCCGCATCGTATTTCAGTTGTTTTTTTAGGGGTAGGGGGGGGGTATCGCATTTTGAGCTACATTGCAAAGGTTTCTGGGAGATTTAGCCCCAAGTGACAGTTTAGACGGCTTCAGATTTCTTTGGTGACAGAAAAGGCCCTCTTTCACCCCTGCTGCGAACAGCCAGAAGTCATGCCTGCCAAAGCCAAAGGCGAGCGCCTGAAGTGACCCGAACCCACCAACAACGAGCGGGTGGATCGGAAGGCAGGCGATTTTCCTTAAAGGGAGTGTTCCACATTTGAAGGGGCGTTTGAAATAAAATAGCCATCTTAAGACAATTAGGTGCCATTCACAGCCCTTCTTAACCCGCGCCCGGCTGACCGGCTGGATACCCTTCGCCGGGGTGGGGGTGGGGGGTGGGGGGCAATTTGACCCTCTGAGATGTCAGGAACTAAGGGAGCTAGAGACACCAAATTTACAGGGTATGTTGAACTGAACGTGAACTCACGTAGGTCAAAGTTGGGGTTCTTAGTTCATGGCTTCAGGACCAAATATGGTCAAACGAGATCAAGTTCCAGGTTTTTCTCCAAAGTGCCCCCAGAACCTAGACAACTTGCTCCTAAGCAAAAAGGTCACATGCTCATTGAAAGTCAATGACCTCGTTTGACCTTTTGAAGGCTATGGTGAGCTAAATCATACCAGACTGCTCTGAGCTTGGCATTTGAATGTGCGACAAAGATTACGCTAGGCAGTATGTTACCAAAAACAAAATGTTTTCCTGGGTCATTTTAAGTCAATGACCTATCCTAACCTCTAAGAAGTCCATACAAGATGCATAATGCGGTTCCTGCTATCAATAAACTCGAAATGAACACCAGAAACTATCCCATACAGCTAGCTCGTAAGTAATAAAACAGGTTGGTTTTGACTTCGGTCTGACCTTCATATGTGACCTTAGGTCAATGTAATTTGTGCGTTTAATTGTTGTGTTGCCTAAGAAAGCATCTCAGAGATGTATGGTCTCGTCTAACACTCCGTTGTTTTATCAGATTGAATGATTTCCTAGAAATTGACTTCGCTGAAACCATCACCTGACTTTGACATGCCATAGGTCAGCGACCATACAAAGTATATCTGAATTTGTATACCAAACAATTCGATACTAAATTGTCTACAGCTATCCAGCAGTTGAACCATTCCGGAAAAACCTTCGGGCGGTCAATTTGAGCCCCACCCGAGCGCGTGTTAAGACCTGAACCCCTTTAGTTTCTGAGCTGCGCATCGCTGAAGATGTGCAGACTATTTCGTGTAGACTACGTCGAGGTCACCCAAACATGCATGACTCTATAATAACGTTTAACAAGCCCCGCTAATCCATTGGACATGCGGCGACCAAGGCGAAGACAAATAGAATTGCCGAGTCGTTCACATATTGCGTTCGTGAGCGCGATTTCCAGGTACTGGGCCGTCTATTGGCAATCAATGTGGCGCAAGGCCCGATGGCACGATCAAACGCTGGAGTGTTGAGGAACGCATTTGCTAGGCGAAGAAAATTTGGTGTCCGTAGCAATCCCTTTCACTTAAAAGTATACAAACACTTAGAAGTGAGCTTATTGCATTATATTTCATGCTTGCTTCAATGTCTTCAAATGTGAAACATTCACTTTAAGCAACGTTTAACGTGTGATTAAGGGTGTTCAACCGAAGAATGCTTCAATCGCAAATGATTGGCATCAAAATTGTAGATAACGAGGAGGAAACTGGTTTTCCAACTTGTTCAGCTCTATAATGCCTAGGAGTAACGCTTAGCTGCAAGCGGCGACAGTATAGCCACCTGCACCACTTCCACCTGTAGCGTTAGTTTGAAAGTTGACCACTAGGCAGCCGTCCGTTGCCGGCGTGTGTCCAGCTGTCTACGTACGCTGCCGCTTGGAGGCCAGGATGGAGCACTTCACTAAGGTCTGCGGCAGAATCGTGTTCAATCCGCCAGACATTTACTAGCAAGACATTTGACACAATTTTGTTGAACCATATTACTGGTCAACAAAACATCAGCGCCTATAAGTGCAGTGTCCGTATCTACCGAGGTCCTAAGACAAAAAGTAAAAAATCCCATCTGCCCAATGCTTTTTTTGTCGAACACTGAATGGCGAATGCGGAATGGCAGCATGTAAGAACGTCGACGGGGTGAAAGTTCGAAACAGCTAAATGTCGAAATGCAAAACGGCGAACTGTAAACAAGTCGACACGGCAAAATGGCGATAAACTCAATGGCGACCTGCAAGATGGCGACATTGAAAAAGTCGACCTGCCAAATGTGCGAACGGCTAGATGGTGAACTGCAAAACACTTAATAAGCAAAACAATGATTCATTGGCAAACGGCGGAATGACGAAATACAAAGGATATATTTAAATTTGATCCCGGTGAATGGTGTCTTGAAAGTCGTGGACATGTCACAATGGCTGGATGGCTGGCTGGGCGTTGTTTGCTGTGTAGGGAGCCATCAAGACGTCAAAGGATCGCAGCGTCCAGTGGCCCCTGTGCGGGGAGGGGGCTGAAGCCCCCACAACGTCATGTGTGCAGCTGCGCACCTGTGTGCAAATTTATCATTACCATTGACAGGTTGCAGCCTTCGCGCCTACCACATATAAGCTGGGCGGCAGATTTCCCAAAATGTTTGTGGTTTTATCATGACTTTATTTCAGTGTTGGTCATTTAGGCCTGTTGTCATTTTTCCATGTGGTCGTTTCTTCAAACAAGATACTTAAAGGGACTGGTCCACATTTTTACGAGGTTTGCAGCTGAGATGAAGCATTTTTATGAGCATGACGTGCTGCTCTTAAAGCTTGAAATCGTCCCGTTTCTGAGCTAGTAGTAAACACGTGGAGCCTATTTCGCGCCGCCCGTTTTGAAATAATCAGGATATTACGTGGTAGAAACTCCACACAACTTCCGCCCCCTCAATGGCCGTATGGTGTTCAAGGTCAAGAAAAACGTGAGCATTGCCTTTTGCCTTTTTTGTGTTTGAGGTACCTTAGTGTGGATCGTTGCATCAACGAGAGGCGGTTAGCTTGCAACCAGCTGGAAGCGTTAAACGCAAGTTTTGAACAATATTTAGACATTTGGCAGT